ATTTTTAAGACATATATTACACCAACTTAATAAAAAAATTTTCTAAGTCAGTCAATGCACGTGTTTTAGAGTTGGAAAAGCACCAAAACCCTTGGATTAGGTCTAAACTCCAAGGTTAGATTTCAAACCCAGGGTTAGGTTATTTCACTATAAATATATCATTGTTCTCAGACATAGGTACGCCTACCACCCCATTACAGAGCAAAAATCTTGACCTATGCACTCAAATTACCTTTGCCAAAACCTTAACCACCAACTGTGTTTCAACAGAAGGTAAATTTCCACTTTCGTTCATCTGGCCCTTTTTTATGTTGATTGCTGGTCTTTCTTCAACAACAAAAATTAATTTATTTCCTTGAAAATGATTCTTGTGTTTTTATGTGTTATTTACAGTAATTTTACGCGTTGTATGTGTTTGGTTTGATTAAGAAATTGTTTGGCATGGTAATTAAGACCCCACTAAATATAGGTTTGTCCAGTATTTTTTCAATTTTCTTAATTTGTTTACGCGGGAAGGGCATGGAAAATGCACTCTTCAAGCCGAAATATGGAATTTTTTACTCAAAATTTATTTATATTAATTTTGGTTTTCTATGTTTTAAGGTGAATAAATATTTTCACCTCATTTTTTAACTTTATTGCTATATATATTTTAAATTTAGATTTTCACCATGATATATGCATAAATCAACAAAAATTTGGTCAAATTAATACCTACTAACTTAAAAACCTTGATTTAAGGTTAATATCAGAGATTTAAACTTTCGTGATGCCAAACGGCTATAACCCTCTGATATATAAAGAAAATGATAAATGCATAAACAAAAATTGTAGTACTAAAATTCATACTCCTTTTGTCCCAAAATATAACTGTGGTATTTTGACTTTCAGTTTATCCTAAATAAATTTTTGTTTTTATATTTTAAAATAGACAAATTTTTTTCTTAATTTAATCATATTATTATTCATTTATTTGAATTAATTATACTATTACAAAACTATTACTTTATCTTTTAGTTTTTTAATAGTAATATAAGTAAATGCATGAACTATCCCTAAATCCTTAATTTGGAAAAAAAAATTCAAAAATAACAGTTTTTTGGGATAAAGGGAGTAATTCATAGTCAAAAAGTAAAAAAATTACTACTCCCTT